ATATATATATATTTTTATTTTTATTTTATTATGACCATTAATGATATCAAAGTTGGGAACACTCCTAATGGAGCGTTAGCCAAATTTAGTCTTTGTACCTTCTTGTAGTACTTATGTAATTTATAGACTTGCCGTACAATTCCCCTTATATCTCCATGCCCACAAATTAATAAATAAATAAACACACGCACAAATTGTGTGAATTATGTTGTTTTATGGTGTACGAGGGGCGGTATTACGAGGCTAAATTACGTACAAATAGATACAAACGATCTGTACATTGGCATTTTCCTGGCGATATGTGAGATCGGCGGTATTACGAGGGGTGGTATAATGAGGTTTTACCGTTGTCTACAATTTTGCCACACATCCACCCCCCCCCCTCACACACACACACACCTCCCCCTACATCCCCTGTGAGTATTTCGGACTAGTGAGCCTTCGGACTAGTGAACCTTCGAACTAGTGGGCCTTCGGACTAGCGGGCAGCCACGCTCATAGGGTCTATGTCCCCCAAGGTACTGCCGGAACGTACCCTGGTAGCTATTTGATATGGTTAGGGTTAGGGTTAGGGAGTAGGCGTAGGCGACTCCCTAGACTCGTTAATGGAGTAGGCGAGGTACGGTCCGGCATATTAGATAGTACCAGGGTACGTTCCGGTATACCGGACCGTACCCAGGGTACGTTCCGGCAGTACCCTGGGGGACATAGACCCTCTCAGCGGCAGTCACCATTACAGCTGACCCTCCCACACGTGTTACATGACCTCACAACTACTGTCCACACATGCACAGCTGCCCGCTATCTCGCTAGCCACCAGCCGCAATGAAGGCATATTCTCGAGACATAATCAGCTTATTGTAAGGTAATGTAAGACCCAGTAAGGCTGATAGGGTCTATGTCCCCCAGGGTACTGCCGGAACGTACCCTGGTAACTATCTAGCTGATATGGTTAGGGTTAGTGTTAGGGTTAGGGTTAGGGTTAGAGTTAAGGTTAGGGTTAGGGTTATGGTTAGGGAGTAGGCGTAGGCGACTCCCTAGACTCGTTAGTGGAGTAGGCGAGGTACGGTCCGGCATATTAGATAGTAGTATTTAGTACCAGGGTACGTTCCGGCAGTACCCTGGGGGACATAGACCCTATCAGCCCCAGTAAGACCCCTTTCTACTGTAAAACCCTGCGAGACGTCGCGTCACGATTGCATACAAAGATTCACTGCCGACGTGACAAAGATGCCCGATGACAACAGTGATCAGTGACTCGAGTGCCTTTTACTCCTACTACCTAGTAAGTTAGTGTGGGTGTGTAGTCGACTCGTTTACAATAATGCTCATTTGAATGACAAGCACGTTTCGCCCTTGCTTCTTTGTCAGTGTCCCCTTAATTAGTCCCCCACCCGTAGACGCAGCACGGACGCAAACATTCGGCCATTCTGCCTAAATTCCTTTCCTCGTACGCGCATTTTGTTAGGCGCGTGACATCAGATTATATGCGGCCTGTCGGTTTTAACCCGTCCTGCCACATTCTCGCCAATAGGCTGGCTGGCACACAGGGCCGGGGAAACTCGGCAGTTTTGCCGCGATATTGCACGCGAGCTGATTTACTGACCCCGAACGAAGTCGCGAAGGCATGGGGGTGTCCGTACATGATACGTACGGTACGTACGTATAAACGCACGCCACTCGGTGGAGTGGAACAACGACCAGCTTTACATAGACGGCAGTCGCACGCGAGTACGAGCAATAGTCGTAAAGCGAGAATGGTTAGTATATATGGCTCTTGTCTGTAGGACATGGCTGTGAGACGCGATAGTACATGCATGCGTGCGTGCGTGCGTGCGTGCCCTGAACGTTACAAGTATCATGAACATGTGTATACGATGTGCTGCGTAGGTACGCACGCATATACGTACTCACATAGTACGTGCGCGTATGGTTGTATGCGTGCATGTGTGCGTCTGTATGTATGTGTGTGTGTGTGCGTGCGTGCGTGCGTGCGTGCGTGCGGGCGGGCGGGCGGGCGGGCGGAAGGGCGTATGTACGTACGTGCGTGCGTGTGGGCGGGAGTGCGCGCGTGCGTGGGGGAGTGCGGGCGTCTGTGACACGCATTATAGCCACAGTTAACAAAACCCCGAAATTTATTTCTCAATGAGAAAATCTACCTATTTATTTTGTTTCCTGCTCGTGACGCTACCGTTTGATGTTTATGTATGGGCATCTGCTACTAGTTATCAATTCTTCACTGTATAGATATATCGACATATAATGTGCGTCATACACTGACGAGAGGCTAACATTGCTCTGTCACGTACGCCATTACATGTGGCAGCACATCTTCTTTTCAAAACAGGTCTTTAGAAGTGGCTATTTCTCTTATCCACACAAAAGCACATTCCTGTACTGCATAGCATGAAGACAACCCTGCGATGTGAACTTTAAGCCAGTGGGATGGCACACACACACATATCATACACTGTACAATGATGACGTGCTACAGCTATAGCTACTATAGCTACCACAGGGGAAAAAACAATCTGTACAGCTGTGAGAGAAAGAAAGCTGGGTGACGTAGCGGAGGTAAAGGATAAGATCGATGAGCTAGAAGAAATGGAAAGGAAGTAGGGGGATGTACAGGGGCTAAAGGAGGAGATGGTGGAGAATGTAGGCCTAGATGGGGCAGAGGAATCAGAGAATGTAAAGAGAGAGGAATAAGCTAATGAAGATAGCGGGGCAGAAAAATGGAGACGATAAAGGTGTGGCGTAGGTAGGGGACGGGGAGAGTAGATAAAGTCGTAAATGATGAGAAGGTGAAGGAGGCAGCGGAGAGGAAAATGAAGAGGCGTGAAAAATGATGGAATAGTCTAGAAGATCGATGACGGAGACACGTTTGAGATGGCAGCGGAGATACGTAGCCTGGGCAAAGAACCAGGTAAATTGGAGTAACGTGCTCAGAAACACCAGATTCCGCGTGTAACTATAGCTAGTATATTTGACACACTGAATGATTAAACTATACAAACTAGAACATTAATTTGTCATGTCTGGCGTACACTGAACGCACGGGGTCATCCCTATAGACCGAAGGTCCGATAGACCGAATATTGCAAAGGGTTAGGGTTAGGGTTAGGGTTAGGGTTAGGGTCAGGGTTAGGGTTATGGTTAGGGTTAGGGTTATGGTTAGGGTTAGGGTTAAGGTTAGGGTTTATAGTGGCATCGGTAGATGTGCGGCATATTCACGTTCGAATACGGCATCAGTGGATGTCTGGATGCGTAGCCTGGAGGCTAGGCGACCGATTCCGGACGTGTAGCCACTGCGTATTCGAATAAACCTTTGGTCTATCGGGCCTTCGGTCTATCGGACCTTCGGTCTATAGGGCTGTAACCGAACGCACAGTACCTGCTATTATTTATTTCGAGCCTAGCCCAGTGTAAATTAACCTTTAGGTAGTGCCAACAGAATGTTCAGGAGAGTCAATATATATGTATGTATGCACATGCATAAACAAAACCAATTGACATGCATGTGAACGTGTCATGTGAACGAAACACTCGAGACAGTAGCCACCATAGGCGTTACTTATCCTAGAAACATTTTGAACAACGCATTGGAATGAGAACTCTTAACGCACTCTATTTGCATAGCTAGCACATATAGGCATGCACCTGCTTTACTTACATATTTAGACTGGGATTACTCCTAGATAACTATGAAATACAAGGTTCAATGACTAAAATCTAAAGAATCAGCCCACCCCAGACGCATATAAAAAATCATGTGTGCTTTTACAAGGAACCCAAGTTCAGTCCAAAAACAGAATGGAGCTGTGCAACCTTACACGGACGGACTTACACAACCTTACATCGACACGGGAGCCCTGGGTTGAAGTTAAAGGTGAGGTCACTACAATTATACGTACGTGACGGTGTACATGCATATTTACAAGAGCGTATAAATACGCCTTCTTTATACGCTCTTGATATTTATGAGGTCGCTGCGCTACATCGCCTAGCTGCTTGTATTAGCGCATATTGCCACGTACATAATTTATTGGTTTTCACCCTAGCAAGAAAAATGAGTTTTAGTGGTGCACTTCTAGTTCACTGCAATTTCACCCGGGGTGGTATCCAATTAGATTGATTATGATTATGTATCCAGGGTACACACAGCACTAGCACGCAATATACGACGTTACAATGATGTGGGCTGACAGTGGTTCACCTGGGAGCTGGCATGCGCGGTCTGCCGAGAATGCTACTTTATGAAACAATACAATGGATAATGCACGTAAACAATTTATGAATACATTGTATGTATTATAATACATTGTGTGTATAATGTAACATTGTATAGACAAAGAGCCACAATATGTTGATCTTGTTGATATATCATTTAGTTGGAGGCAAGGCAATGCAAGTCAAGGCGAGGCAAGGCGAGGCAAGGCAAGTCAATAGGCCCTTTGGTATAGATACGATCATATTAGAATAATAACATGAATTAAAAAGTGAATTATAATAAATGAATAATAAAAGTGAATTAAGAATGTGATTGTCTTACTCCCTATATGTTCATTGTATTATCCAGTCTCATAACAACTTGTAAATTTCTAGTAAATGCTATGCAATTCTTTCTGCTCACTACCAGGTTTTAGTCAAAATGTTACCAATGATTCCCAAATTAATGTACAGTATGAGTTTAAGTCAAAATTATAGGGAGTGTAATAGTAAAAATCAATATTGTTATCAAAACGTTTCGCACACATATTATCAGGAGTAAGATAATATAGAATTATCTATATTATCTTACTCCTGATATTATCGTTACCACATCTTAAGTACATTTAAAATCGGGCACAATAATCCTACTTATTATTACAACTATGCTCCCACTCTGACTGTACAATGCAGACAAAAGTATCCCAAAATAAATAGGGTATTGACTCCTGTATGGCCAGCAGCCATTGCCAAATTATATGCTCCAGCTGGTTTGCCAAGACTACCAATTATCCTGATAGGCAGATAAATTGTGAGGTACAATCAGCTGTATAGCCTTTCCCCGGACTCACACACACATACGTTCGGCTACTCAGGGTACATACTAAGTTCTCTATTATATATACGTATTAGATGTCACTTCCTTGACACTCAGCTATGATCACTCGCCGCCAAGACTGCGTGAGCTACAGTTAAAACAGTAATTAAGGCCTTATAATCCGACAATGAATTCAGTTGACTTTAGGCAGTAAAGAAACAATGAGAATGCAGAATCTAATTAATCATGCAAGCTGTAGATGTAGGCACAGAACTGCAATAATCATACAGATACAATTGATTTTCCAATCATTCTATTACTACTGAACTATTCAACTGACTGATACTACTAGATCCTTCTATCCTGAGTTATGACAACTGAATATTGGATAAGAATGCCTATGCACAATTAGCTTACAGTTTTTGAAAAGTTTGTTTACCCTTTTAAAGTTCAGCATTCAAATCAAGACTACATCTACTGCATACTGTTGAAAACCAATAAAAATTTGTACTGACTGAACTGTGTGGGCAGAAACATGTCTGGCAATATTAGATAATATTAGATAAGAATTTTGGGCCCAGGGGTGAGGCTGTCTGAAATGCGACAAAACAATTTACTATACAGTAAATATCAAGCTCTCATTGTGCCTTGTATATGACAATTGACATATATATATATATATATAATTACATATATATTTTTGTATCACGTATAATGTCATTTACACAATATAAAGTGAAACATACTCGCATAATGCTTGCCCATCCTTTAGTGCCTCCTGAACATCATATTGATCCTTGAAATCCCCTCTAGGTGATTCTAGATTCCTACCAGTTACCTCCTCTATCCATGTCAGTGCCTCTTTTGCCAGGTTCATATCAAACTTTGCATTCGTCTGCAACAGATAACAGCTAATTCAGTTTGCATTGGGCGTAAGAAAATCTCCCCAAGGGTAAAAACGAGAATACTTTGGCAGAGTAGTGAATTACGCACGTACAAACCCCGATACACCGACCAGCAGCAACCTGTTTTTAATAGCTGCGTCTGCATTTCATCTGTTAATTATGACTCTTGGGCCAAAAAGGACTGAATGGTGGATGAAATTATGGGCGATTGCATTGAGCCAGAATATACGTTTTCTTTCTCGTCGTAGAGAAAATGCGTGTTTGGGAATTAGTTAACTTAGGTCACAGACAACGATGGGTCCAGCAATTTTTCCGGAGTGGTGATCGAGATCCAGAACACACCTGAGCCTGAGGCGTTTGCTGTGTTGGCAGAGCCCATTCATCATGCATCTGTGGCCTTTGGCTTCGCAATGCGTTACAAACATCTCTAACCTAGCATAGCACGCCATTTGGCTGATGCGATTAGATAACTATACACGTCAATATTATGTCTACGGGCGTATTGTGTATTTTAGCTGAGCGAGCAATTTCGCCGGTTCCCGGTGATTGTACTGCGTAGAAAACCGGCGACAGCAACTAAATCTGTTGATCTGTGATTCTGTATCGAGATCGTGATGCTTTTACTCACCTTAAGCTGACACGCCCTGCTTAATCCATACGTAGGTCCCTTATTTGCCATTTCTGAATCCTAAGATGTAAAACGTGAAACACTACTCCTTGCCAACAACAACACTCATCAAACGACACACGAACAGACTGCGCGTACGACTATTCGTACACTGCGTACTTTCAGAGCAGCGCACCGCGCACAGACACTACGCATGCGCAGCGCTGTTCGTAGTAAACAGTGAAACAAGAGAGGATTAATCGAGTAAAGATACCAGAAGGCCGTTTAAAATATCAAGCATGGGTAAGTTACAGCCACTCTGAGCGAAATGTACATTTAATTGATGTCATTATACGGCCAAATGAGCGCTTGTAGGGTGAAATACTTCTTAGTTGCCACACGCGATTTTAGCTATTTTGCCGTCTGGCGGTCACGTTTATCGCGATTAATTTTGATCAAATAGTACATAGATGGAGACTCTGTTGCATCGCTGAAAAAATATTTGAATCGTATTCAGTCGAATCTGTGATGTTTTGAATGTTTTAATTGATCTCAAAAGGGTATGTGTCTAAATTGTATTTAGTAAGAGGTAGTTTGATAGCAGATCAATCAAGTAGTAGTGGTAGCCGTGTCGTTAATTACAAGATAATAAGATTATAAGATACATAATTGTACGGTATTCTTCGGTACGTCATTCCGAGTACACAACACTCAACAGTCAACATGTACATGTACGATGTAGCTCTAGTACTATACTATAGCCTAGGCTATAGGCTACTAGTACTAAGGCCATAGCCCTTCGCTCCGCCGCAGTGGTGAAAACACTGGAAAACTCTCCCAATAGTTACTTTAATGTTTCTTTAATCTCTTTCGCCTGATAGTTTCTCGCAATGTTTCTTTACTCTCTTTCGCCTGATACTCTCTTTCGCCTATACTGATAGTGATAGTGATAGTGATAGTGATAATTTCCTGTAAATTCCGTTTAAATGCTCCTCTGCAATACACAAGTACACCGCATGCACCGTTGCACGGCGCTGTGCACAAGCAATAAAAATATAGAGGAAATTACAGGCATTTACTAACCTGTATGATACAGGCGGTTCCGGTTCCGCTTCACTACACTAACCCTAACACTAAGTGTAGTGAAGCGGAACCGCCTGTATCATACAGGTTAGGCATTTACAGGAAGTTATCAGTAATAATAAGTGAAAGAGAGTAGAGAGATTGGTAGTAAATTATACATTTCGTGTTTATTAGCTCATCTGACGTAGTCAGATGCAGCTTGTGGAATCGCATGATTGTCCGTGCGTCCGTCTGTCCGTGCGTCCGTGCGTCAACAGTTGGGCACAAATCTTAACCGCTCGACGTACGGTCGCGATATTCGGGACGTCGCGGAGGATCGTGAAAAGGACTCGGGATGACAAATTTGGGGGTCAAGGGTCAAAGGTCAAGATGTGTAAACGGAGGGGGAATATTTCCCCCTTTACTTAAGGTATAGGAGGAAATACGGTATTGCGGCACAAATCTCAACGACTCGACCTATGCTCTTAATATTCAGTGTATAGTGTGATGGAGGTCACAGGTCAAAGGGCAGTGGGGTAAAGGTCAGATATCAGTCATTTTCTGAGGACATGGCTTAATGGACAGAGTGAAAAACTTTTTTGTTTCAGCGCTGACCTACCATTTTTATCACTTTATTGAAAGGACCATGAAATGTGCTTTCCACTGACGTGCGAAGAGTAAGTGTCTGATAACTTTTTGACCCTCATTCTCATATTCATGGCACATCCATAATCTAGAAAGCCAATAAGCCTGGATAGCTGAACAGGTACAGCACAGGCGTCACGGCTCAAAGGTCCTTGGATCGAATCCCATCAGATTTTTTATTATTTACCTTATTTCTGTATTTTTCCATCTTTATCCATTTAACTATTTTTTTCCAATTAATGCAAATATTTACATGATTTATTTACAACAATTTAATAACAACAAATAATTTTTACAACAATAATTTTTTTTTTTAATAGGGTTAGGGTTAGGGTCACAATGCACCATAAAACAGGAGTTTCAGGCACGCGATTTGTATCAACCAATAGGATTTGGGAGGTATGCAGAATGCAGAAGGTTGCTGAAATGATGTGTACGCAACTGCGTATCTGCATATCTGCGCCTAACAAAGGTGTCACTACGCACGACTTAAATGTTACATTTATAATCGTAGCAACAGACCTCAGATGAGCCCAGACGCTCTGTGGCTTTTGTTTACATTATTTTATTATTGAAACGTTTTAAGTGCCTGTTGTTAATACCACCTTCTTGCTTCTCACTTCTATGACTAGTGCGAGCAGGCTCTGTGACTGTTACATGTCATAGGAGGCTTCTCGCCACGTATTGAGAAGCGACAAGGTATAACCTGTGGCTATCCTACAACATGTAGCAGTATTAAAGCCTAGTCTGGCTAGGTATGATGTAACCCTACAGGTACAACCTGTATTTCGCAAGTGCACTGCTGCTGCTCTCTAGCTTGCGATGGTGTGGGGTTACCCTAGGCCTAGGTCCTTCTCCTATCTTTCATATTCTAGTCATATTCTAGTCAAGTTAGGGTTAAACTTCACTTCAGTGAATAAGTTGAGAGGAATACTAAAATAAGTCCAATTATGTGCATATATACTCATAATAATTATGTTGTAAAGTTCTGTAAGCTGCTGATGTGTAGCGCATGATCTTTGTATGAATTGATTACAGTGCATATAAAAGGATCATGAGCAATTGACACAGTCAGTGTTTATAAAAGGTGGAATTCTATCAAACTAGAAAGGTCAACAACTGGTAATAAATAAATTAGGTAATTGACCAAAATTTTGGTAGTAGTTATAGCAGAGTAAGAAACGTAGCTATTAACAAAAAAGGAATAAATATGTATGCAAACAAGAATATATCAAGCATACGAAACAACAAACACTTATCAGCATGTTATGTGTATTAAAGCTGAGCATTTACAAAGTTAACTATATTGCTACGGTCATATGACTACAAAGCATGTAGAAATATAATTCATACAAATTAATAAAACCAGAACAAAAATTTGGACCAATTATGTGCAGTAATTGCAATGTGTACTATGTGCCACACGTAGAAGATGCCCTAATTATAGTTTGCCAGGGTCTCGTTCCCAGAAAAAGCAAAACAGCTTTGCAGTTTACTATTCTATTATTTGTGCCCCATCATGATTTAGTTTTAATAGTTAACGACATGCAATATTTGTAGACATTTTCTGAATTTCAGAGGCTCTAGAGATGGTGTGGGGACAACCATCTTTGTTCGGTGCCTTTGGTAACCAGCAGGGGATCAATGGGTATGGACCAAGTATATCAGGCACTGGTTTTATGTTTCGCAAGAGAACGGAACGACTTGACTGGCGGCTACTGGCATCTGTGGACATTGACAGAATAGCAAGAGAAGTGGATTTAACAGCGCTTCAGGATAATATCTCCAACATAACGTTTTGTAACATTGAGCGTGAACTTGACTTCAGCGATGTCGACTCGAACTTTGTCAAGGTGTATAAACTGGCACAGTTCACCATCGAATACCTGCTGCATTCGCAGGATTACCTGCATAATTGCATTGAACCGCTACAGGAGAAAATTCACAAGCACTCGGAACAACTTGCCGAAGCGACAAAACAGCTGGAAAAGCAAAGTGAAGAAATGAAGGCACTGAAAAAGGAAAATAGGAGGAAGAAAAAACTGTTAGCCGAGCAACAGCAGCAGATGGTAACGAATCCCAGTATCGACATGGCTCACAAATGCGCGTTTTGTGACAAGGCCTTCATCGCCGCAAGTTACGTGCAGAGTCACATCCTACGCCGTCATTCCAACATGCTGGGAGTCGGCTCGAACGCGCCGGGAAACAAAACCCTTGAGGCCGACCTAAAAATGATGAAGGAGCGGCTAGAAGCGGCCGAGCAGCTGCTAGAGAAGGAGCGGTGCAGCGTGATAACGCTTGCCGAGAAGGAGGAGGCGGCGCGGCTGCGGTCGGAGGAGACGTCGAAGCACGAAATGCGCGAGTGGAAGGCGGCGCAGGACGAGAGCCACCACCGCGAGGTCGAGCAGGTCAAGGACATGCTGCTGCGCGAGATCAAGGAGATGCACGAGAAGTACAGCGCGTCGCAGGAGGCGCTCGCCGAGTTTCGCGCGCGCATGGCCGGCCAGCAGTCGCACCTCGGCGAACTGCGCGACACTGAGGAGGAGTCGCAGCAGAAGCACCATGCCGAGATCGCCGCGCTGACGACGCAGCTGCACGCGGAGGTGCGCGCCGTGCAGGCCGACATGGAGCGCCAGCTCGTCTCGCAGGAGAAGAACTACCGCGCCGCGCTGAAGCAGATGAGGAGGCAGCACGACGCGGAGAGGGCGAAACTCGGCGACCTGCTAGCCGAGCAGCAGCGCACGCTCAGCGAGGAGCAGGGACAGAGGAGCAGCCACTACGACGAGCAGCGGCGCGAGCTGCTGAGGCAGACGCGCCAGCAGGAGGCGCTCATTCGGCAGCAGCAGCGGGCGCTCGACGACATACGCAGCCGACCCGCGCCGCCGCAGCCGCAGCCGCAGCCCGAGGAATCGGAGGAATCCTCCGCCGCGAGCGAAGAGGAGGAGGAGGAGGAGGTCGACGACTCGCTGCGCACGAACGAGTACGGCATGCTGCGCAGCGGCCGCATGATCGCCGCGTTGAGGAAGCAGCCGGGCCTGCTGACAGGAGTCCGCGCCGAGATGCTCGGCATTCTCAACGCGTCGCTGGAGGACCGGGGCGTGCGATACGGCGCGGTGGGAATCGGCGACAGTCTATGCGCCCAGCGGCTCGCCGAGCTAAAGCTGGAGGGGCAGCGGCTTGCGAGAAAGCACGACGGCTTTTTCGCGGTGAGAGAGCAGTTCGCGCGGCGGAGCGACGCGGCGGCAAAACGCAGGCGGAGAGCGCGGGCCGATAAGGCACCTGCTCCCGTCGTGCGGAAATGCGCGAGCCCGAACGCAAGAGCCGTGAGCGGTAGCCCGGGTGAAAGGAGGCCAGCGAACGGTTCTCTGAAGCCTGCTAGACTGACGTCGGGCACACCGAAGAAAAACGCGCTTTCGCTCGTTTCTAACGCGACTGCGCCGACAAACTTCTCCAATAGATGGAGCAAGTCGGACAGTGACGACAACGAAGAAGAAGAACAACAACAGCAACAGCAATCAGAACGGCCACGCGGAATCGCCGCCGTCGAAGCGAGCGCAGATTCCCCCAGCGGATGGGATGATTCGGCCAGCGAGTTGGAGGAAGCCACATCTTCTGGAGTGCAGGACACGAGGTTAGCTAAACACGGCAGGTCGCCGGTGGCCGTCGCGCGAATGGGATCATCCGGTGTCGTCGCCGAGCTGACGAAGTCCATCGAGAGGCAACTGAAGGGGAAGAGTCCCGGCGGGAAACCCAAGGTGCCGCCGCGGAGCCCCCGCGCGGTGCAACCCGACTCCGATACGGACTTCTCGCTCTCCTCCGCGGCGGAGGAGGAGGAGGACCCGCGGGGGAATCCGCGGCCGAAACCGAGGAGCGTGCGCATGGCGGCGCCGGCGGCGCCGCCGGCCGTGAAACCGCGACGCTCGAGCAGCGCGGAGCCCGAGTCGACGTATGGCACGAGCGTGTGGGGGTCGTCGCGAGGCTCGGCGGTCACGCTGAACGCGCCGGGCGGCGGCGAGCGGCAGCCGACCAATCACAGGGTGTCGACGAGCTGGGACAGCGACGGCGGCGACCTCGACATAGAGGACCTCGGCGTCGCGTGATCGCGAGCGTCGATAGATGGCGCTACGTGTCGATAGACGTGCGCCACATGTTGATAAATGTGTGCCACATGTCGATAGATGGCACCACATGTCGATAAATGTGCGCCGTGTGTCGATGGATGGCACCACTTGTCATAGCGGGCGGGCCGATGAATTTTTTGAAGTTTTTTCTGTGAGTTTCCGTAGGTGCGCGCGGTGAAGAGTTTCTCAGGACAGGACATCTATCGCGTATGTCAGTTTTTGCCAAAACCTGCAGCTCATTGTCTACCTTTTGGAAATATTTTTGGTAGCACAGTAACAGAGATGGAATCGTTATGAAAGGTTAGCCAGCAAATGAAACATTTGCTGCATGTTAATGCATGTAATTATCATTTTCCATTTCTCCATGGTGTAACATGAATATATCAGACCAGCTACCAATGGTCTCTTGTATTTTAGTACTTGTATGTATTTGTATATATGGAAATTATACACTAGCTTACATACCATAGGATTATATCAGAGCGGTGTCCCACATGTACTAAATTTGTTTATTGGTTGTATTAACTTGAAAACAACAAGTTAAATTGATATAGTCCTTTATACAACTGTAAGTCTTTTACTTCCGTCCACTATATTTTGTGAATAATTTCAAGGTTGTGTTGATAATGAAAAAAGGTATACATTACTCTTTATTCTGATATTTGATGGAAAAGGCTATTTTTTCTACGAGTCATTTATCAACTGGACACTTTATAATAATATTAATTATACGTCATAGTTTCAAATCTATTACTTGCAGTTTGTATAAGCTTGTTAAACTTATATTATTATTGTACAGCTTGCAATGCTTTGTTATATGCACGTCTATTTGTGCCAATGGCCAAATTTATTTCAATATAATCAGGAGTGAATAAAAATATTGTTTTATTCACTTCTGATATATTATTGGTGTGTATGTTCACATACTTAGCTGTCCACATATTCGGTGTTATAAAGAGAGTATTCAGGAATTACAAATGAAATAATACATGGTAAAATTGTTCAACCTGTAACTCACCATATTTACAACTTTATTTATCACATTAACAAAAAATGTGTCTAGAAATGATTTGCCCATCATTATTGACATCCAGTGATTAAAATAAATTCAGTTGATGTACAGTTGCCTAATTTATAAACACTTGGGTTTTTAGTTTTATGAGTGTATCTATGTATCTAAATTGATTGATTGCTAATATATTTTTCAATTTTAAAGCAGTATTATCATGTGTATTCCCAAACATCTACACACCATTAATCTATTGTAGATTGTAAATTTCGCTCACTATCAAGATTATTACTATCACTACTTGCATCACTGTCATTGTAATCATTGGACACTAACGAGCAGGAAAGCACGCCAGTAGGAGCTGATGCAGCTTCCTGATAACTTGCATCACCGTTAGCACTACCCTCGCCTGAAGCAGCCTCCAAGTCTGGCATCAGTTCCCGAAGAGCACCCTCTCCTGAAGGTTCCATGTTATTCAAACTTTTCTTGGGGACGATTCCGAGATCTTCCCGACTCAGTGACCTCGTATTTGCCAATGCAGTTTTCAGTTTATCCGCTGCTTGCGCATGCATCATCTTGCTCTCCCAGTTTGTCAATGGCTTAGCCGTAGATGAAGATGGTTCAATGACATGCGTCGCCATGGAAGGCCCTGTCGAGAACAGAGGTCTCTCCACTATTGCTCTCCTAGTTTCTTGCTGCTTTTTGTCAGGTGCTACATGTAAACAACAATCAAATTATGCATATTAGGTTCTCATGGCTAAATCATGAATTCTTTAGTCCATATAAAGATGGAATCGAGTCATTACAGCACATGGTATCATTAGAAGAATGATCGTAAAGTTATGATAATGGTAAGGACTTGGGATAGGTCTGAAAATTACTGGATATTATTTCATAATTTGGCTATTGCACATTCTGCAAAGAGATGTCACGGTAATAATATTAATTTACCTGACACTATCAGCCACATCAATAACAAAATAAAACTACCTAGATGCTTTCCATTGGCTTAGAAAGGAATATTAGGAATATTACGTACGTATAAAGTCTCCATATTTTACAAGCCCGGCAACTCTCGCATCCTCTTCGCTCTCGGGAAGTAAATCGATGTCAAGTGATGACTTTACCAATAACTTCTGGTCTTTTTCATGTGTGGCCTTTATTTCCTTCTTTTTATCCTGTGTACAATTGTTAATGACATTGAAGATGAAATAAGAGTGTAATATGTAGTGCAGCAGATGCAGCGAGTTGACAAAATGAGTTTGAGTTAGGTGAGGCCTGAAGCCTAAGCTATCCATTAGATACTGATTGCATTTCATGTGACTTTGATGTGATATATACAGAATTACCATGGTTAGTGCCCATTGTTTCTATTTCGCTATCTCTCTCGCTCTCTCTCTCTCTCTCTCTCTCTCTCCTTCTCCTCTCGTTCACTCACCCTCCTTCCCTTTATCTCTTTATATCTCTCTCTCTTCCGATTTATCTCCCATCATTCCCCCTCACCTCCCTCTATTATTATTTTATGTTTGACCGCAATTAGTGAAAGCTTTGGTACAAAATAACACAATTTGTGCTATCACACACAAGCTAACATAGATAGGATGACAATAAATTTAGTCTTGTGTATGACATCAGAATTTGCACAGCAGACTTAATGTAAAAAAAACTTAAATACGAACCCTAAAAACTTTACGTAGCAGCTTGTTAACCATGTAGTCGTCTTTCCAGCGATCATCTTGTCTCTCCAACAGCCTTGTAACAACTGGCTGGGCTCTCTTTGCCTTGCCTTTGTCATCAGCACCATGCTCAAGCTTAAACATAGCATCAGTTGCAAATTTCTTCTGGTCATCCTTATCTGTAAATACCCAAACAAGATTAAAAAACATGTGCAAACTAAACAGACCACTGGAGACACCATCCCTAGATCCCTAGGATCGCTTGCATGATCAAGCTATTGATGTAAAATATTAATTAATAAAGTTAAAATTCACCTTAATAAAATAGACAACTCACGAATTACTCATGAGTAAATGGGTACATAAATTTTTAGTCGCACACACATACAGATCTTAGGGTCACATGGTCATATATAAATTGGCAACATATTAGCAATATACGACAATCACACAGGAAATATATCATCTGTCAAATTAGTAAGCAGTCCTGATAATAACTATATTCATTCCAAGGGAAATAACAACCATCCAGAATTGGAA